TCATAACCACCCTATATTATATAGGCCATGCACATGCTAGAGTTGTTTTCTGGAATGGATGCTGCTCTGCGACCCTTGGTGAACACTACCTGTGCTTGTGGAGCAGCTGAAAAGGACCACTAGTATGTCTCGTTCCCGGTTTGAAAGTGGACACACGACTTTCGTGCCTTAAAAAAAATGGAGTAGGGAGCGACAAAGGGACGCCTGTAGCTGATTTTTGAGTGCTCCTCGTACATTTTAATGGTAATCGAAAATCCTCCGACTAAAGTCAGCGCGAAGATGGCCATACAGGTTTCTTGTGGATTTTTTAGTTGTTTCGTCTCGTACCTATGTCAGTATCGTGATGGTGAAGTGTAAAGGGTGATTCTCGTCCTCTAGGATTCGTTCGGCCGACTTTATGTTGTCCTCGTTGAAAAGTGATGCTGAAAAACGGTCGATTCGCAAAATTGTGTTGATTTTCAATGTACGTGATGCCATGCAATTGCTGGCTATGTTTCCTGAACATAAGCAAGGTGCAAACATGAACAGACTTCGACATTTGTAGATTTTTTCTGTTCTCAATGGCCCTGATTCAGAACTATACAAGAATGAATAACTGTATAGAATTAAACTCGAATGGAGAGCCCAGGATTAATTTATAGTGAAAAAAGGACCAAGGAACTACAAGTTGCGCTATAATGTCGATTAACACCACCATTCACTTTACAATCAGCTCGTGCGACAACACTGCATGACACTGACGGACGGTACTGGCGTTCTACAACTAACTGCCAATCAGCCAATCAGCACGTCTTGGATGCAGACTCCCGCCAACAGCCTTCCAACTTGGAAGGCTCTCCGTGTCCAATGGTCTTGCCACTATCGTCATCAACATGCATGTACATCCGCCAACGTCCTTCACAGCTCAGATGTTCAGCTTGAGCTTGTCTTGGTTGCGCGCACCTTCCCATCCTATGTTATCACTGTAACTTAGAACCTTCCAAGTGGGAAGGCTGTTGGTGTGCGCACCCAAGACGTGCTAGAGCTGATTGCCAGCTATTTGTAGAACGCCAGTACTGTCCGTCAGTGTCGTGCAATGTTATCACATGAGCTGATTGTAAAGTAACTGGTGGTGTTAGTGGACATTACAGAGTAACTTTTAGTTCCTTGGTCCTTTTTGCACTGTGTAGAACTAGTCATATATTCGGATGTACTGGTTAAAATCTTTCGAAGGACAGGTACATCGAAATTTGAAGCGAACTTGTAACAAACTTATGGATCCGGTTCAGTGCAGTTTTCAACAAGAGGCATGTCCCAGACGCTAGGTGTATCTGAACGCCACGCTACGCATGCACATACACAGTGATGTGCTGGGAACTAGTACAGGGTGCCAGCTTTGCACTTTGGGTCGGATTTCAGTGAGCGCAACTGTACATGTCCCATGCAGAGGAGACAGTTTCAAATAGGAAATAGGTTGCAAACCGGAACGGGCTCAATATTCCCTTTCTCTCTTGGTATTTTCATTAGAAAACATATGTCACAGTGAGACTACGATGTGTTTTACTCCGAGGCAATATTTCATGGCTCTGCGATGACCAGACGCGCTATACTAAGCAGGTGAGGTTTTGCCGTGTTGGCTCCCACTGCGTCTTGAGTTCAACGTCTTTCGAAAAATCAACTTATTGTCGCAGGTACACAGCTGCTCGCTACTCGCCAATAAAGCACCGTATACAAATGAAAACTAATGGAAGCACACACGAGGCCTATTGCTTCTCTGTACTGGCCATCGTGGAGCGATAGGAATTACCTAATTTCAGAACTCAGGGTGAACTTGACGTGCACTCCAAAACTGTTTCGGTTTGGAGCAACCTCTGTGACACCAACATTTGAAACAAAAAATCGGGCAACTTGGAGGCAACGGGCCAACACAAAGGAGTGGCTCAGTTCGATCGACTCCGACCTCAGAGCAAACTTCAACATGCCAGCTTCCTTCCACAAACATATTTCGAGTGAACAATCCACGCTGATGATCGGTTTGGGTCTACACAATTTTGCTGTCAAACCGTTCCTATTTGAAACCGTCTCCTCCACACCGAGTACATATCCTGATGACAGCATGCATGTACATGTAGGGTAGAAATCACACTTGCATGCCCAGTGTAGGCCTGACCTATACAGCCCACAACCGTCTACGAATACAAGGCGACAGGCGCACGATCATGGTTCGTAGTACATCTGTCAGTCTACGGCACGCACAACACACACAACAAGAAAGGCTCACCGAAGCATTTGCTCTGATGCGTGTGCTTATCGATGAAAACCTTGGCACTGACAATTTCACCAAAGTTTAAGAACAGCTGCCAGAGGTGAAAATCCATAAAGTAAGCGGGAAGGTTGTTGATATATATGTTACAGCCTTCCGGTCCTGCATACAACAAGAAGAAAGTAAGGAATGAAGTGCAGATGACGTTTTGCAAATAACAACCCTACTAAGTTCTGTGAATATGCCCCAGGTGTATGTCGCACACTGGCGTAAAAAAATGGGTACAAACTTGGGCATGCGCGTCATTTCCGGGGGGGGGGGGGGGGACACAAGGTGCTTATTGCAGCACCTGCGTTTCCATTAGCAGGCATACCGTGTTTGCGTGCACACCCATACACATGTACAGCAACGGAAGTCCATGGCACTAGGCGTCAAGCTACAGTAAAACCTGTCTCAAGGCGACCACTTGGATACGGCGACCACCTGTCCCACAAGACCACTGCAGTCAGGACCAAGGGATGCTATTTCCAGTCCAGTGACCCTGGATAAGGAGACCACCTGGTTAGAGAGACCACACTTTGAGGGTCCGTTGAGCGGTCGTCTTAAGACAGGTTTTTACTGCACAGTAGGTATGGGTTATAACGTGGGTGTTTGAAAAACGACTTTCTATTCTTATTTCCGATATTTCTTACACACGATACATCAAGTGTGACACATCATATGCATGTGTGCAGGGGCAGGAAGATCATTGTATGTGCAACGTAGTGCTACTGCGCATGTGGCTGGTCATAGTCCCATAGGCTTACCATGCGGCTATCCAACACGAGTTACATGACAACAACAGTTGAACCTGCAACACTACGACGCAACGCGAGTCAGATCAGAACTGCATTAGACAGATGTTATTACTACATGCGATACACGTTGTACTAATCTGGCATGTTTCGCTACACAAAGTCCATTCTTAGGACTGATATATTCTACTATGCGATGAAATTGCTTATAAGAATAAAAGTGCACATGAAACCCATGATATGATTATGAAAACATGAGAGTTCATTCTTGTAGGCGATAATTATATTCTTTTACACGACCACGCTATAACCGATACACACTGTACTGTAATCAACGGTGTAACTACAGCATGGTACGTGTTGTAAATACTCTCCCAACACGCAAGAAACTCATGTTGGAAGCTGCACCGTACTACTTGTACACTGAAGTTTGTCAGCTGCCGGCATGCCGGACACACTGGCACACCACACCTCACTTGATCCAGTGCCAGCGTACGCGTTGTGCTTGTTCAAGACAAATGCTAGCCGTGTTCCGTCTATTATTTTCTACACACCTCACAAACTGCATGTAGCAGCTCACTGTGTAACGATGCAGTAACCATGGTTACAGAGACAAGAGATAGGGATTTCTGCGGCAAGTCCTGTAGCTGTTGCTGTACTGCAGTCGAAAGCGGCGGAACCAATGGCTCAAGAACTCCATGACTTTCCAGGGTACAGTTCCTTCAGGCGTTGTTTTGCAGGAGTGTCAACCACGAAAGTTTCATTTTCTTTCCCTCGTTGCTAAGTATTTTGTACTCTAGATGTACGACAAGAACCTCCAAGAACACAATTACTGTTCTGATGACCTCCACTTGCGTATGCTTTTGTTTGAACTTGAATACTAAGCTTCCATGCAGCAGCTGATATGTTGCTCCTGTTCACCTCCGTCTGATCAACAACCATCAGTTTGAAACTTCACAGTTTGTTGAAAAACACCGTGATCCCAGTGTAGAAGATCCCAGGTTGATCATAACAGCTGCTCCAGAGTTACAGCAGCTGTGTTGGCTTTGGTGTATACACGGAATGTAACGGTATAGCGGTAGTACCCGGTACCAAAAGGAAATAAACTACCAATGTTTGCTAAAATGGGCTGGGAACCTACAATGGGGACTTTACACCAGGTGATGTGAGTTTTCGCCGTCAGCGAACCCAGGGCATAGCTTAAAAGGATTTCATTTAGCTCGGACAAATGTCCTTCCGTTTTTAAATCTGTCCGGACAAGCCCGGACATTTTCCACAACACATTTTCAGGGTGTTTCTTCTTTTTTTTTAGTAGTACTGAAGTATATTCACAATGACTCATTATGTGGACGTATCTCACACAGTACTATGTACAATTCGCCAATTTATTTGTATTAGAAACTGAACTAATTGCTGACGACAAATGTATGTACAAGAAAGCGTTGCAGTCAAGAATTTAGCGAACGCGATATGCTCCTTGCAGAGAAGGTAAGTCAGTTCGAATTTGCGTCGTGCAATAGCGGCAGCACCATCGTCCATCTCGCACAGTGCCTTCGCAATTGGAGCGAATTCGAGGGCATTTCGAGCGGGACACTCTTGCCTGCGGAAAAGATTCATTGCTCGTTTATGCATCTCCGTTCCAGCATGATCCTTGAACGCTGATGTTCTCAGGTTCTTGGATCCGGTTATGAAAGCCTCGCTGAAGTTTTTACAACTGCGGACTCTGTCTACAACCTTGATGCACACGGAACACTTCAAACATTCTGCTAACAGCCGATCGTTCTTCTGCCGGTCCTAAATCAGCCAGGCGGAAGTAGTCAGCTCTGCATCATTGTCCGAGATCCACTTGAATCCTCTGAATCTCCCTTTCGCTTTCCAGAAGACATTCTAAAAGACTATCTGCATTCCTGGTCAGTGAAAGAGTGAAAAATAAAAGATGACATCTTCCTCAAGAGCGAACAACTGCACTGCAGTTCAACCCATCGATTCAGGTGCGAAGTCGACACCATGTACTAAAGGTCGAAAGTGTGAATTGACTGTAGCAACCGCGTTGCTACAGGCGGATCAAGTAAATATGGTGTAAAGTCTACGCCTGAGGCTACGGTACGGTGTAGACGTGTTAGTTGTACGATATGCAAGTCGCATTTGGCACGAAGCTCCGAAGAAAGCCCAACTCAGCATAAAAAAGGTCGAAAGGTCGCTGCTCTTTTTTTCCTTTTTCGACCGGACACTATGTCCGGTGAAATTGAAAACGTCCGGTCAGTGGCCGAAAATGGCCGGAAAATGTCCGATGTCCGGCCGTTAATCTATGCCCTGGAACCCCCATAGAAAGGGTATTCAAACGACCCACATGCCCTTTGCTAGGTTACGACCAATCAACAGCCTCGGAGAGCGGGCTTTGATTTGCCATCAAAGCCCGCTGCCAGGGGCAACCTGTACAAGAAACCATCACAGCCCGTTGCCATTGGCAACTGTACGACAAAACCATCAAAGCCCTGATCATGTCCAATCTCATTCTTTTCAAGGTGGTCTGGCTATAAGAACAAGAAACCGATAGGGTTGGTGGTCGGGGGGATGCGGTGGCTCTCAACTTGTAGTTAGTTGTGCTTTTCCGTGTCTGATAATGGTCCCCTTTAGCAATAAAGCTAAAGGCGAAAATACTCACAGTGGCTACCGCTACACGTTCATGTGTACATGTGCCTGCAAGTGTGTGTGTGTGTACCTTCAGGTGTGTGTGTACCTTCAGGTGTGTGTGTACCTTCAGGTGTGTGTGTGTGTGTGTGTGTGTGTGTGTGTTCGTGTTGGGGGGTGGGGGGGGGTGAAAGCTGCTTACCTTCCTGTTGACGTTGGTGGGCTGCTGGGTTGCGGAACTTCCGGTACAGTGCTAAGTTAGGAACACATACACACACACACACATACACACATACACACACACACACACACATACACACATACACACACACACACACACACACACACACACACACACATACATACACACACACACACACACACACACACATACACACACACATACATACATACACACATACATACACATACACACACACACACACACACACACACACAAACACACACACAGAAAAAAGCAGGTTAGAGTTCGAACATTACTATCGTCGTCACGCGAAGGCGGAGAAGCAATATTCCACCTTGTAACTCTCTTAATATCGACTAAATCTGAAGAAAATTGACTGTCAACCCCAGGTTTCGAACCAGGGACAGTTTTTAAGCAGTCAAATATGTAAATACAGTCAACTTCGCGTATAACGACACTCGGTGGGGCATCAGAAAAGTGTCGTTATTCGCGAAGTGTCGTTATACCCGAAGTCTCATTATGTATTACAATTGGATGGGACTTTGCTCTGGGCATGGAAATTCAGTCGATATTCGCGAACTGTCGTTATATCCGCAGTCGTTATTGGCGAAGTTGACTGTAGGCGGTATGGAGATAATATTATAGAAACCTTTCATCGCTATATTAAAATAATTGTAAAGATGAACACTATTGAATGCAAAGTTTACACAAACATTTCAACCAAAGTAGCTTGGTGTCGAGAACATTTTCTTGTCACAATCATCAGTGGCATACTGTGGCTAAAGGGAAAGGGGCAACAACTCAAAGGATAATTCATACACATTTCGAAAAGACTGGGTATCACACGCACCTAAAAACTGGTGCGACCGAAGGTAGACGAGGGTTGGGCGGAAATATCGCCTGAAAGTGTTTTTTTCAAATGTTGGCACACAAGATCTATTTGGCTGCATCACGATCACTTTAGGACATTTTCCACAAGGGGTACAAACACCTTCACCGGAAAGGTTTTCAAAGTTGGGCTCACAAGGGAGTTAGCTGTTGTTTTCTGATGTCTACCATTGAACCCCCCAGGGTCAGATAAAGATTATGTAGAGAGGACTGGGGGCCATTATACACCCCTGTCTCAAGCAATTCTCCACACAAATTTCATCCATGACACCTCCGGGCACCCGCACATCTGCCCGCCACCATGCCATTCTGAAATGACTCAATGACCTCGAGGAGAGTCGGAGGAATTCCGAGGACAGAAAGAGCACAATCCAGTGCAGAGCTAGGCACGGAATCATAGGCTTTTCTCAAGTCCACAAAGTTACGAAATATTTTTAAATCATTTTAGTATGATGCTCGTATGCCTTGTCCCAGAGTTGCCAGACAGTGAACACAGCATCAGCACAACCATGGTTAGGTCGGAATCCGCACTGAGACTCTGGAAGGAGATTCTCGGCTCTAGACTGTAGGCGATTCTGTATTTTTTAAGCAATCGACCATCTTGCCCACCACCTCCAAAAGAGAGATCCCATGCCAAACACACACACACACACACACACACACACACACACACACACACACACACACACACACACACAAACACACACACAGAGAATGCCTTCCTGGACCGACACAGGAAAGCCGAATG